GAAAATCTCAAGAACATCAAATGAGCTTGTTCTAAGTCATTCACACTATGTGGACAAAATTTTAGGAAAGTTCCATAAGGATGATACTGGTTTGGCTAGAACATCAATAGATACGAGTCAACATCTGTCTAAAAACAAAGGAGAAAGTATCTCTCAAGTAGAATACTCGAGAGTTATCGGAAGTCTAATGTACTTAATGAGTTGTACTAGACTAGATATAGCCTACACAATCAATAAACTAAGTAGATACACGAGTAATCCAGGAGTTGATCACTAGAAAGGAATTGTAAGAGTACTAAGGTACTTAAGATATACTCGTGACTAAGGACTATATTATACTAGATATCCAGCAGTCATTGAAGGATACAGTAATGCTAATTGGATATCTAATATAAAAGACTCAAAATCCACCAGTGGATATGTGTTCACATTGGGTGGTGCTGCCATATCGTGGAAATCCTCTAAACAAACGGTTATAGCTAGAACTACGATGGAATCTGAGTTTATAGCTCTAGATAAATGTGGTGAAGATGCTGAATGGTTGCGCAATTTCTTAGAGGATATTCCAAGATGGTCAAAACCTGTGCCAGCAATTTACATATATTGTGACAGTCAATCGGCAATAGGAAGGGCATAGAGTAACATATATAATGGTAAGTCTAGACATATACGTCGTAGACACAATACCATAAGACAACTACTCTCAACTGGAGTTATCACTATTGACTATATAAGGTCAAAAGATAACATTGCGGATCCGCTAATCAAATGGTTAAATAGAGAGTTAGTTATGAAATCATCGAAAGGAATGAGACTTAAGCCCTTGAAAGAATAAGTCGTTACAAAGGAAAACCCAACCTAGTTGACTGGAGATCCCAAGATCTAGGTTCAATGGGAAAACCTAACTGTAAAGACTTGATAAAATCACTGTGGGGGTATTACCTCATGTCCATTCCTATGACGTAACAGTGATGCCCGTAAGGTTGAAGGTTAAGCAATAGGCTTTTAATTATTCTTATGCGTCGTAAATCGAGTCAAGTAATGTAGGTTACTTGTAATAAAAAATCACCTATGTGAGAGAGAAATGGGGTCGCTTCTAAGAGAATTGGGTGGGGCTCAATTCTTAAGAACTCTCATAGAACGAGGCATATGTACATGGCCAAAACGAACATAACAATGAGAACTGGATTGTGTTAGGAAAAATCCTGTGTGAGGTATATCATCGTTTACACAAACGGCAGAACAGCTCAAGGACATCTTGTCTACTGGTCAGTCAGTAAAGTAAATATGCTTTCACAAGGGAAGGTTCAAAGGGTAACACCTACCTATCCTATGCAGGATTCAACCGCTGAACTTTATCACCTAATCTTGTGTCTCACGTTTCTTGTCTCTCTCAATTTTCATTCATGTGGGGGATTGATGAAAAAAATTGAGTGAGCATCTCACTTTTGGCACAATTTTTTAGGGGACCTGTTGATCCAATGTGGAATATCAAAGTTGATATGTGTTCTCCTCCACGAGAACATCGATTTCATGTATTTATTTGTTAAAAATGAAGCTCGGGTGAATGAGAAATTGAAGCTCAAAGTAGGTCATTGGAAGCTGATTTTGTGGAAAAAATGTATTTATCCTACATAGGAAAACCAAGGAAACTTAAATCACTTTATATATGGCTATACTTTGGAGATGTGTAATCATGTGTAGCATAGAAACTCTCTTCACGTGCGAACGCAGGGGGGTGCAAATCACGAATCGAAATGGCCTTCGGACATTGAACTTGGGTGCGGGCGCGACCTGCGCACACGAATATCGGACCGAACAAGGCAAAAATGGCTCCATCGGTGAGCCCACTTTTTGCCAATTTTTTTTTGCTTTCTCCAATAACTTTTGAGTTTCTAAACTGAAAAAAACTTCAATAGACTCCCAATGGTCACAATATTAATGGGCAGTATGCCTATAAAAATGCTTATTCTCCAGCAATCTAACACACTCGAAAATCTCACATACATTCCTGCATACACAGTTTCTTCTTTTCTGCATTCTTTGTCCAGTAAGGCCTTGTTCTTGTGGTGATATTATTTGGATACTAGATCAGTTCGTCGGAATAGGATTGCGGTGCTCGAATTCTGCTTATTACTGTTGTATCCTGGGAGACAGCCGCTCGAACTGAACCTCCAGCACCTACGGTGAGGGGGTGAAACTGTCTTAAGGAAACTGTACACGCACAGACCTCGATTTGAAACCTGCTGCAGTTTGTGTTTTTCTTTCTACAAATTATTTTCGCATTACTATTTAATTCATGCAGTTTGTAGTTCCATAGTGTGCAGCTTTCAGATTCATCGTTTACAATTTTAGCCTGCAGTTAATTTATATTTTTGATTTTGTGTTGCTAAATATTTTTTTCAACCGTTGGAAAATTCTGAAATGGAATTTTTTTGATAAATTAAAATCATTTGCCTTGTGGTTATTAATTTCAATAGTCGGCTATTGTAATTGAATAAAACTTATACAATTGATTTCATCCACTAGCGACTTATTTTCCTACCGTCTAAACTAACTAAAACCAACATGATTTCCAGATAGAAAATAGGTACTTGTAGAGAACATGTTAGTACCCAATACCATTCCAAGATATAATTTTCTCTCCTTTGAGAGTAAGAAAGTCCCACAGATTGCTCTACCTAGTACCTAGTGGCATGATATCCAAGAAAAATTAATTTTTTTCTTTCAATCGTGTTTCAAATGGATCTATCAGTGTCTACTTGCAATGCATTAACTGAACAGCAAAATTCTAGTTCTTATGGCCAAAATTGTCAAGATCTAAACCGAACACCTCAGCCCAAAATTGTCAGCAAAGGTATCCTTCCCCAGTCAATCCGTCCCTCGAAATGAAACACCTCTACCACAACCTCCGTTTTCTCCTCATTCTCCAAAAAATCAACAATACACCTCAGCCCACTCTTGAATTCCTCAACCCTCTTTGAGATCAAATCTCTCTCAGCCTCCAATCCTTGCTTTTTCCTCTTAAACTCTTCAAAGATTTTGGTCTGTAACGTCTTCTTCAATTTATCTGAAATCCCTCAATTTATTCCATATCAAGTTCCCCAACAAATATGAGAAATCCTACGATAAATCTATAAGGTTGCATCACATAAAATACATTTGAAATACAAACATAAATCAAATTTTCTGATGTTAAAAGTTCCATAATAAGTTTCCCAGAACTTTAAATTTCTAGGTTAAGGCTAGATTACTTAAATTACAGATGAAATACAAAGAGGAGCAGAACAGCAAAACCAGAAAGAAAAGAAGAAGACGAAGGTAATAGAATTACCTTCAGCTGAACAGGGTTACAATCAGGGGCGAAGCCAGAAAATAATGTTAGAATGGGCTAAAATTTTAAAAAACTTTGAATGAATTTACGTCACAATAAATCGAGTTTTGGAGGCTATTTTCGTGATATTTACGATAAAAAGTATACGACACTTAATGAAATAAAAAAAATTTAGATATCTCACATTAAAATATTCCACTAAATCTTTGTATTTTTTTTACCAAATAGAAAATCGATGCTTACTTTAAAAAATATAAACTAATCGAATCGCGATAAATTTAAGCAAAAATACATATCCACCAATGGACATTTAAAAAATTACTTAATGATACTCTTCTAGTAACTTTGAAATTCATCTTTCCAAACAATTAAAAATTTTAACAAATATTCTTTTTATTGTCGATATAGATTACTTTATAAATAAATAAGTTTTAACACATTCCTTTTATTGTTAGTATCAAATCTATAGTAAGTTATTTATTTTGATCATAATATCTACTTTATGATCAAAATAAGTATCTTTTTTTATAAATATGAATTAGTAATGAATGAAAACATATGTAATTTAGAAAAATACGTAGTGTCTCTAACTATTAGAATAAGTAATTTACTTTTAGATCTAATCAATCCAAATTATTTGTAACTGAATTTACTTAATAATTATAAGTAAATTTTAGTCAAACATTTATTAAGTAGAATATCTAATCTGACAATAAAATATTTACATTTCATGAATGTTTTGAAAAGAGTAATTAATAATTGCAATGTTTTTAATACAATTTGTATAATGGAACATTAGAATTGAATTGAGATTTAAATTAGAGCTGAACCAATGTTAACGTCTGTGTCATAATTCTAAAATCTTTGCTTAGAACATAATATGGGCTGGGGAGCATTTAATATGAGATGGGGAGCATTAAAATAATATGGGCTGGGAGCAAATAATATGGGCTTGTAGTCTAGCAATGCCCCCCACTAACTCCGCCTTTGGTTACAATTGTGAGTTACCCAACATGCTCAGTCGATTCTACTCCAACAAGCTCAGTTGATTCTGGACGAAATTGAGGGTGACCCATGGTAGAATTAGATGCGCCTAGTTGATAGGAATGTTATGGTGGTGCTCCACGATGAAGAGGTTGGCCGAATGTGGAAGTAACTAGGAAAAAATCGTAATTGCGCTCGTAGTTTTGGATGGGAATTGGTGCTATTTCTGACAGTCTAGTGGGCAGGCGATGGCCGGAGGTTGTAGAGGGAGGTGAGAGAGGTGTCGGTAGTGTGTGGGTCCGACGGCTTAGGTGGCGAGTGGTGGTTGTTATTGATGGAAGGAGGCGACGGATTGTTAGCTTAAGAAAGAGGAAAAATTTTGGACCAATGGAACCATTTCAGTGTTTTCATATTTCACTTGTTTTGGCTTGAAATGACGTTTTGAGTTTTTAGTGCAATTTTATTTTTATTTTTTTTCAAAAATTCATTTTCGAAAATAGAAAACAAAATGCGTTCTCACTGTTTTGAAAAATCGAAATTACAAAACAAATTGAAAACAACATGGAGAACAGCCCCTAATTTATCGTGTTGTACTTGGTTTGATCGATCATTAAAGCATGAATTGTTTTATGTGTAGAAAATAGTGTACCCAAATTATTACATTCTCATTATATGAAAGAGCTCCACTTACAATAAAATAGGGGGTGTAATCTTACACGCGCACAGAGTAATCCTTGAAGCAGAATACCGTATTAGTACTGCCTTGTTTGCAGAAAAATGGAAGAAATTTCGAATCCTCTCTCCTCCAATCTACCCACCACCACCACTCCTCTCCCCGTCCCGGGCGCCGCCGATGCCATCAACCCCTTAACTTCTTCCCCATCCAGAAGAATTACAGGTCCGGCTAAGTGGCCCACAATCGATGGTCCATTGGGGCTCTCACATCAAGATTCAGTAGCTTACGCTCGTAGATTCTTCAATTTCGGATTTTTCTGTCTTCCTTTCCTTTGGGCGGTCAATTGCTTCTATTTCTGGCCCGTTCTTCGCCACCCGAATTCTCATAATTCCCACCCTCTACTCCGCCGCTGTAAGCCTTCCCATCTCTGTATATGCAAATTTACCTGCATGCATTTCTTTAAGTTAATTTTTAAGAGTTCGGTGAAGAAAGTTACCCATTTGAGGTTCTGAAGAGTATTGGACGATTTATATTCTTTAAGTGGTTTTTAATATGTAAACTGATCTTAGGGTGTCTAGTGTTTAGCCTAGAAATTCACTCTTAAGAAAGTGTTTGTGCGAAATGCGGGTTATGATAGGAAATTTTATGTGGTTCTGGAGTTTTCACGTTAAATTTTTTATCAATGTTTTGTTCTGTGATATTAAATTTTGAAGGGAATTTGTAATCACCCCCCTCGCGTGCTTCCTAAGTTCCATAAATTGGTAGAGAATTGGGTATAAAACTATGGTGTATACTTAGTGATTTAAGAACATTTTTTATTGGATTACTAAATAGTTGTTTGTGTAGCGACCATTCTTATGTAAATCATTTTAAGAATCTAGTAGATGGAAGTAGAGTCATTTACCTTCATGTACACTTGAACTAACTATTAGCTCTCGAGTCAAGTTCAAAACCAGAGTGTAAGTATCCTTGCTAATAATGCTAACATTTCACTGTCTTTTCTACGAGTTTTGCTATTGGGCATAGTATGTGATGTGATCATTCACTTTTACACAAATTAATTCGTAGCTTATCCTATCCACAAGGGGTTTAATTTTTTACTTGTTACCATTGCACTTTCTTTCCCCTTTCTAAAATACAAAGCACACACATCTTATACCAAACAATAAGCAATTGACAATCCCCAGCAGATTGTCACTAGGTAGACCTATTGCTTTGAGAATGTCTCCGGTCGAGACATTTTCTCGCATTAGTTCAGCTCGGGACACATGATGTTTATTTTTTATAATTCTTTGGTCTACCTCTACTCATAACATTAGCTTTATCAACAACACAACATTGGCATCGAGTCTGAAAACATTTGTAAGCAAAGGACAATATTTGATGGAATAGATACTTCTCTTGGTTTAGATATTTGTAAATGAAACTAGATTTTGAATGAATTCTAACACAATTTATAAATCATTGTATGTATTATTGCGTGCTTTTTGTTTCAGTTAATTTGAAGGGTTTGGTTAAGAAAGTTAATCGTTTGAAATTTTTATGAGTATTGGATGATTTATATGTTTTGAGTGGTTTATAGTATGTATAAGAATGTTAATATTGTTTTTAATAGAGATCGGTAGTTGATATTAATGCATAAACTCAGCTTTACCATGCTCTTCAAGAAATGCTTTGACATCTATGACTGCACAAATACTCCTTGTTGATTTGCTCGAGTTATGCACAGTCCAAGATATTGCTTAAAGGTTTGAACTGTTTTGTCTCGACATAAAAAATTCTCTGAGTTGTTATTCTGGACTTGATCATCTTGTGTATAGAAAACCTTGTCTTTTAGAAAGTAAGATAAACGGATGATTGGACTTGTCTTTTAAAGTTTCATATTTTTGTCTCATATACTAATTTGATCACCTCAAAACAATCTTTTTATAACCTCGAAATTGGTAGGGAAAGTTAGTAAGTCTTGATGCTGCCTTTTCTTCTTATCTGGCTGCGACAACTGATAACTTCTCTTGCCTTTTTAGACTTCTTGACTGATACCAGATATCTCGGTGGAAATAGAATACGTGAACAACAATTATAAGAAATTCTCCGTCCACATTTTCATATTCTCCTAACTGTAATTTTCCTTTGGGTTTAGGAGAGGGGTTAAAATAAACCGTAGCATCTCAAGTTCATTTATCAATTCTTCCTTTTGTACAGATGTTGTTGGATCAGCAATTGGCTTCTTGTTGTTTGCTGTGATTCTCTCTTCATGGTCTGTTACCTTTATGATTGGCGGGAACCAACTTTTTGGCCCAGTGTGGGATAAATTAGTTATGTACAATGTTGCCGAAAGATATGGATTAACTGAGCTTATGTAGATCTACATGTTAGCGGTTTCAGCTCCATCAACAACATGGATATAGTACTTGTTTTCTTTTGCTGAAAAAGATTATCAATATGAGTGTTCAAGTTACTGCATTGTATTTTATGAGAAAGTTAACTTATTAATGTTGTTCTCTGTTATTAACATGTTTGATGCACACGTTGCCGAAGTCTGGTTCTTGGGGGTGGAAAGGGATGGTCAGTAGCCATGTGGCATGGTTTCGTACTTCTTCTACTCTTTAGCTGTCTAGAAAGGGTTGCTTGAATGAAACCGGTTTTGTTTAGAAACGAAGAATTGGATTGAAACGGTAAATCTTATTGTTAGATTATTTTAATTGGATCATCAAGATTAATAAGGAACGTAGAAAATTCCAAAACATATATGCACATACACCTGAGGCAAATCTAAACAGAATAGGCATTTTCTTGTGTTTGTTATGAAGATGGTTTTTCTTTTGAATCAAGAGGAACTAAAGAAGAATGTACCTCAGGATTAACTTACCATCCGACTGGATTTTGTTATGTATTAAATGGAACACGAAATTAAAAAACGAAAGTATAAAATAGATGGCCGGGGTATTCCGCACTAAAAGTTTCATGTATGGACGTTTTCCGCCAATTCTAAAGGGTGGTAGTTTTTTGCGCACCATGTCTAATAGGTGGAGATAATGCACCAATTAACCTATAAAAGAATTAACCTGTTTGGACAGAGTTAATTCCAAGGCCAAAAACAGGGGCGCCATTGGAATTCACCCCGGCTGTCTAGCAGGGTTGCCTTATAAAATGTGTTCAACATGAGACTTAGGTTCACTTTTCTTCAAAGGATTTCACTATGATGAAGAAGAAAAATATATTACAATATATTTCTGAATTCGTCTCTCGGTTGTCTCTGTACAACTAAGGATGATCATTCCAGCATACTTCACGTAAGGAGAAAATGTTAATGCGAACCGATACATATACAAACTTGTCAAATATTAGGTTGAATTACAATTGAAGGAAAAAAAAAATGTATGGTATACTTACAATACAAGTTCAATAGGTTTATTTTTGAAAATACGTGTGGCTTATAGGTAGTAGAGGATGGATATTTCTGAATGGAAATGCAATCGAGTATGCCCTTGACAAGCTTAATTTCAATGAACAATTTATTTCTATTCTTATACGATGTTGTCCAGCTACGAACTAAGGTTTTGTTTGGTATCGTCGTAATTTTAAGAGAATCAATTTTAGCTATGGTGGAAAAAGAATTAGCTGTGATATACTTTTTTTTTTTTTTTTCAAATTTTCCGAATATTTGACCATCAACATTTTATCTTTTGGTAAACAAAAGTGATTGATACCATTTAAAATTTATTTTTACTTTTACAATGACATGAAATAAAGTGGAAAAATATTTCACTAAATTTAAACGATGAAAATGGAAATTATTTTGGAATATGAATAAACTGTCGTATATTCATTTCAAAATGAGAAAAGCAGCAAATCCCCGACACTGCCGTTACTTAGGACGATAAGGATTGCCTCTTTGCTAAGGTTTTGGGACAGAAGGACGGCAGTCTAACACGATAAATGATGACATCTGGTTGAACTCGACCGATCTAACTGAGACTTGTGGCTGCTTCAATTACCTATTTAGGTTTTAGTATGTTGAAATTTGACACAAAAATGCCACCTAGGACAGGACATTTGCCAGTGAGGAAATCTCACCTTATCCACACTCCCACCACAACCTTAATTACACACACAATCCTACCCTTCCACATCAGTTTCCATCAGCTGCCCATAAACCAAATTTTCCAACCTTCATTTCTTCTTGATCCAGTTGTCACGAAAGCAGAAAATGGCAGCCACGAACTCAAGTGTATTGGCATGCAACTATGCCGTATCCGGTGCCGAACTCAAAGCAAAGGTTTCATCTGTGCCTAATGTAGCTTTTTCTCCTGCACCGGTTCGAAAGTTGCCGGTGATCAGGGCCGGGTGGATCTCCGACTCGAAAGAATCATCCAGAAGAGCTGCAATTCTTGGCCTTGGAGCTGCCCTCGTCTCTGGTGTTGTTTTTACATCCTCTGCAAATGCTGGCATCATTGAAGATTATATTGAAAAGAGCAAGGCCAACAAGGTAGGTTCCATTTTCTTTTCATCGCCAAAGTCCCATCTATTTTTCGAATAGTAAGTTCGTCTTCAACTTTTCGTTATATCCGCACAATCAATCCCCAACACCGAAGTTGTTCAAATACCTTTAACTCGGACTGAATTTTGTTTCTCGACTTGGGTTGGTTCAAGAAATTTGTAATCAGACACATGATGATTTAATCGAGATTTATGTAGTTTTTTATCACCAGAGAAAATTGTTTAACTATAAGTAAATATTGAGGATTCCAACTTGCTCTCTTTATGTTGTGGACCAATTATGAAATTTTTCCATATTGTAATCCACTATTTTTACATGGGGTGGGCCGAACATTATTGAAGGAAAGAAAAAGAAGTTATTTACTCTACTGTCCAATATTACACATCGAATATTTTTCCGATCACAGTCGAATGAAATTAAACGAAAGACAAATGTTTAGATTATGCTTTTGCACTGGATACGTTAGTTTCTTACAAACTTGATTGCTGGAATAGGAATTGAATGACAAGAAGAGGCTGGCTACAAGTGGTGCGAACTTTGCCCGAGCTTTCACAGTTCAGTTTGGGTCATGCAAATTCCCAGAAAACTTCACTGGCTGCCAAGATCTAGCCAAGCAAAAGGTTTGATCTTTGTCTCAAATTGAATCCTTTTTTGCCCATTTTCTTTCTCTCTCACGATGGAGTGCACGTGGAGGTGTCAAATGTGCTTCCAACTGGTCTCACTATCTCATTTGTCCTACTTCTATGTCTAATCTTGATAGAAGTAGATGTGTCAAAACGTACTAAGACGAGAAAAGTACACACTAAGGACATGTATTAAAATGCGTCGAACTATCTAATTGGTAAAACCAGTCCAGATCGGGAAAAAGGGTTGTTTCGGACACCTTAAAAGATAAAACTAAGCCATGCAGGCACGGTATATTCCTTTATATGTGAGAGGAGGTAGCTTTGAGATATATAATTTTCTCTCTAATCTATTGCAGAAAGTACCATATATTTCTGAGGACTTGGAGTTGGAGTGCCAAGGGAAGGACAAATACAAGTGTGGTTCCAATGTGTTCTGGAAATGGTGAAATGTTTTAATTTTTATCTCAAATGGATATTTATCATGTATCTATTTTTCCACTTGCAACTTCTAAACTGAAACAGTTGCCTCGAATTTCTCTACTCTATTTGCTTTGATTTTTCTTCTTTTTTTGTTGTTTAAATAGAATTTGTACGTTTTGACTCTCTCCAAAAGGAAATTGTTTGATAAACAAAAGATTAATGAAAATATGAGCCAACTGAATGATTCATATTTTGCATAGACTTGAAGAATGACTCGTTTGCGAGAATGAATTAAGCTTCCAGTAAGAACAGGTACATCAAATTTGAACGCCAATTTGTGGTTTTGAGGGTCTAGCTCTGTGAATCTGCCAGTAGATATACCGCTGAAATGAATAGAAAAATGAAAAATAATTTTAGTGAACTCGAATTTCAAAGATTTCGACTGTTGTTGGAATTTCCTGAAAATGAACAAAGAAACTCAGATACGAAACCCGTAATCAACTGCGTTTTTACAGAACAATGCTGCTTGCCTTCCATTGTCAAAGTTACCCTGTTTGATGGTAATATTTTTTGAAGAATGGTGGTTCAAATCCATTGTTATTAAACTTCCAAGCATAAGGAAGTACAGAATAACAGAAACGTCATTAAATCTTTTGTGGTAGAATAAAAACACATATTTGATAAACGTCAGAATGATCTAGCTGCAAAAAAAGCAGACATGGTATAACCTATATGGCATAAAGACAATAATAATGGTCAGATGTAGACGTGCACTTCAGAGTGCAATGTTCCTATAAATGATCATCTGAACAAAAAATTACTCACTGGATTTCGTAGAAGTTCCTAAGTAGCAAGACGAGTGAATGAAGGTGCTGTAAGCAGTCGTGAATACTTGTTCCGGAGAGACAAACCCTTCTGGCAGAGTGGCTTCCTTCTATGAAATCACTTCGAACCTTTTCGATTACTGGTAGAGGCTCGTGAAGTAGCCCTCTTTATATCCAGGCAATCTCACTTGAATTCAGAGTTTCCCAGCATGGGGAAATAAACAGACTACACGGCATTTTTCTTGTTCCTAAAGTTCTCTTTCAGCAACGCAAACTTTTTCTTACACTGATTAACAGTTTTACCAGGAACTGCAGCAGCTACTCTTTCCCACCTCTGGTTAGTTTCCTTTGGAAATGTTTTAAGAGCTTGTACCAAAGCTTTTTCCTGAACATCGGACCATATATCTTGATCGGAACTTGAAGAAACCCCATTTCCAAAATTACTTTCATCTGGCTTTTGAAAATTCTCAATTGGGCTGGAAGATGGATCTGAACAATCAGCCGTGCTAGTATTCTTCTCCGGCACATTGCTGTTCCTAAAGTTATCTTTCATCAACGTAAATTTCTTCTTACATTGACCGACAGTTTTCCCAGGAACTGCAGCTGCAACTCGTTCCCAGCGTTGGCTAGTTTCCTTGGGAAAGGTCTTCAGAGCTTGAACCAAAGCTTTTTCCTGAACAGCTGACCATGCATCGGGATCTGAACTTGAAGCAACAACACCATTAGCAGCTGTACTATCGTCTGAGTTTTTGCAGCTACCAGTTCCACTGGATGACTCTGGCAAATTATTTGGATCAGAAGCATTCCTCTCGGACGCATTGCTATTTGATAACCCCGGCAAATCCTCTCTAGCTGTAAGAGGAGATGCAATTGATTGTGTTGGCTTTCTTTTCTCGAGGAAGGAATCAAAAGCCTTAGAGGAGTCGGGCTTTTGAAGAAGAACAGTTTTTGTCGCCTTCAGAATCTCTTCAACTGACCTTCCAGTACCAATGTACTCAGAAATCACTTCCCACCTCCGAGAAGTTCCTTTAGGATATTTCTGCATTCCCTTTCTCAGCATTTCAATCTCTTCTTTGCCCCAGGGTTTCTCTCTTTTCTCATTGCCGCCAAATAACCCTTGTTCATTCACCCCCATAGAACCATTCTGCTGTAGGTTCTTCTTCTCATTATGTTTCTCATCCTTCAGTTGGTTATCAGATCCAAGTGCCTCCCTGAGAAATTCAGCTCTCCCTAGCCCTTCCTCTGTTTCCATCTTGTCACATAAATTCCTCAGCTGTTCGATGTCAAGCGACATGCAAAGACCTTCCACATTATCATCAGAAAGATCAAGCAAATGCTGGGACAAGATAGCTCCAGAAAGTGTGCGAAGACGAGTCCGCTCTTTTCGTAATAACTTTTTCTCTTTCTCCTTCAACTTTTTCTGGTTTAAAGCTGCTTCAGCAGCCTTTCTTTCATCCTCCTCTTTTCTACGTTTCTCCTCCTCAACAATCCTAGCTGCTTCTTCCTCCTGCAATTTCTTTGCCAAAATCTTGGCCTCCTTCTTCCTCTGTTTTTCAGCCTTCAGCTCATCTTTTCTTCTAAGAATTCTAGGGTCCCTTTTGTATGCATTGTCAACAAGTGTACGTATACGCGCATATTCTTCCTTCCTTGCCTTCTCTGAGAGTTTTGCATTTTGCCTCTCCATCCACCTTTTGTGATCACGGGACTCAGCTTCCTCAAGGTCAAACTCATCAGCATGAGGAAACTCCCTCCAGCTCTTGAAGCTATACCAAAAATCATAAAAACCATCCACTTCTTTGAGAGTAGAGTTTTCATCTCCCAAAGTCGGAATAGGCTGGTGCACTGACCAGCGTCCGTTTCTCAAGAATGCTGGTCCAAACACCTTGAAAAAGTCCTGCGGTGCACACTCATACGGGATCTCATCGTCAAACTCATCTGTTGAATCATAGATTCTTCTCTTGACAGGGTCAATCAGCACCTCGTAAGCTTCTTGAATTGCCTTGAAATGATTCTCTATTTCATCCTTCTTCGCTTGCTTTGCTGCCTCGGTTTCCACAGAAAGTAAAAGTGCCGCCTGCTTGTCAGGATGATGCCTCAATGCTGTTTCCCGGTAACTTTTTCTTATCTGTTCGTCAGTCGCAAGATACCTCAAATGGCCCAATCCCAATAAAGCATAATGATCCTGCTGCTTCCCTTCACCGCCAGATTTCTTCTTGCCCTTACTACTGTAGAAGTCCGATGTTTGCTTGTACTCCTGGTCCTTCGCATTCGAACCCTCCTCGACTTGATTATCTGCATTTGTTTCCTCAACATGACCTATCAATCTGAGAGCAGCAGCGTGAAAAGCATGCCCTGCAGGCTCCCGCTTGAAAGCCTTGATTGGAAGGCTGTTAGACGAAACATAGATAGGTTCTCCATCTACTATTTCCTGAGAGAATGTAATAAGCTGCATACTTTTCCTGGTAGCCATAAGCATTATTAGTGGTATCCTGAAAGCTAAAGATTAACGCTAGGTAAAAACTTCAGTAGAGTCTGGCACCCGCAGTTCCAGAACAAACATCAACCAATTTTCAAACATAAAATCTAAGAGCAAAAAATAATAGCAAGAAGAATTATACACCCAAAATTTGAAAAAAAAAAAAAAAAAAACTCCAATAATTAACTAAAAAATTTCAAAATAATGAATATAATTTTGTCTTATAATTCAATAAATAGTTTCGCAAACAAGAAAATCCAAATGGAGTAAGATAAATAAACAAACAATAACACAGAAATTAAAATTAGAAATCATTAATATAAGCATGAAAAAAATTTACGGATGACCTACCTCAGCTGTGGATGAAAGGCAGCTGACCGTCAGCGGCGGCTCCGAGGGAACAGGAGTCGGAGGTGGATGGTGATACGAGGGACGAACCTAGGGTTTTGTTTTAGCTGTGCAGAGGAGAAAATTAGACAAGAAAGGCATCATGATGAAGTGAGTATTTATAGTTTGAAAAATGGACTGTTTATGAATATGAGCCCATGGAGGTTAGGAAGGGGCCGATAATGCTTGTCTGATTGGGCCAAATTTGTGAAGATGAGCCTAATTAGGTTGCAGAATGAGCTGATAGTGCAAGAATACATGAAAACTTACAAAAATACCCTTAAAATTTGAAGTGTTTTGAAAAATCATATGAAAAGTTTTTTTGAAGTAAAAAATACTGTGTAAAATAAAAAAGTGACACAATGTCACTTTTTTTTTTAAAAAAGTCATGTAAACTCAAAAAACGTGACAAAATTTAAAAAAAGTGACACAAACACTCAAAAAATTATACAAACTCAAAAGAAAGTAACACAGACATTCAAAAAGTGATATAAATTCAAAAAAAGTGACCAAAAAAAAAAAACCTCTATTTGTGCAATACCAATAATCATATTTTTAACATAATCAACATGTCTTGGACAATCCACATGATGATTATGTTGGGAAAATATAATATTTTATGTCACTTTTTTATCTTCTTAAAAAGTGACAAATATTTAAAAAAGTGATATAAACTTAAAAGGTGACAAAAACTAAAAAAAGAGAGAAAAAATCTAAAAAAGTGACACAATGTCACTTTTAAAGTTTAGTATCACTTTTTTTTAATTAAAAAATGACATACAATGTCACTTTTATTAAAAAATAATATTTGTCAATCAAAAATGATAAAAATTTCAAGAATGTGATTGATAAAAAAGTGACAAACATTTAAAAAAACGACAAAATTCAAAAAAGTAACAAATGCTAAAAAAATGACAAAATTTTTAAAAAGTAACGAAAATTTAAAAAAAGTGACGAATTTGTAAAAGCGACACAAATTAAAAAAAAAGAAAGAAAGAAAAAAAGGCTACACAAATTCAACAAAAAGTGAGACACTAAAAAAAAGTGACGCTCCCCCCCCCCCCTCTCTTTCTCATCCATCCGTGAATGTAATAGTCTTTTCAGAAAGTTTTGTACCCATCTTCAAATTTTGATAGCGTGCACTTACAAAAGTGACATCAACTTTTAAAAAGTCACATACACTTAAAAAAAAAGGTGACATAGAAAAAGACCTAAACTTTAAAAAAAATGATAGAAATAAAAAAAAAAACTGACATAAACTCAAAAATGTTAATTGACGAGGGGGAGTTCATGAGCTCTGCCTTTCATATATTGTAAGTATTTATATTAACTCATTTGAATAAAATGATTTAACAAAAAGGAATATCGATGTCAACTAAGACATAAATTTACGTTTTTTTCTGCAGAGATTACCGAACTTTGAATGTTTCAGAAAATAAGAAAGAAAAATTGCAGAAAAAGAGCAGATAAGGAGATGAAATGGAAAATCAAAGCACTGAAATAAAAATCCTAAGGTGAGATAAGTAATTTGGTAATTCTGTTTCTTATGTTATCTTCCTTTTGGGACAATAGTTCTGCCAACTGAATCAAACTGGGAAAACACTCAATGTGCAGCCACTCCAAAGACCATAACCAATAAAATAGAAGCAAAATACCTTTCAAATTCTCATCTTTTCAATATCAGAATTCAGTTTAAAATACAAAAAGAAAAAATGCACATATAGAACTAACTTGCAACTAGGGCACAAGAAGCATTCTAAGAAACTCCACAAACTGAAGAATGACACTAGCATTTTGTTCATCTCATCAATTAGATATGGAATTTCGGCACAAGGGGTGTATAAATGGATTGCAGTCAAATTGGCAGCAAAATTGATCCATGAAATCCAGCAATGACAACATAACAAGATTTTAAATAAGGATGAAAAAATGGAATTAATATAGCAGCATGACATGAAACTCCAAAACCATAAAAATTACTGCCAAAGCTATATATATACACATCAAGGTTCGGATATACTATGGAAACTCATACGACACACAACACACATACAAAGAGCGAAAAAACCCTAAACAAAATCGGAATGAAGTTGGCTTTTTCTTCGCCCATAATTTGAGTCTCTAATGGTGCTGGTGCTTTCTTCACCCATGCTTCGAGTCCGTAATGGTGGAGGTGCTGTTAATCGGTGGTGATTTTTTATGGAACGACCTCCTTCTTCAGGGGTTAGTGTTTTGTTATTTCAGCATGACTTCTTTTCATCAAATTTGGGCGTTTTTAGCGTATTAATTACGGTTAAGTTAAAGGATTAATGAGAAAAATATTAATTAAGCGTATTATTCAATTTTATTACTTTTTGGCCGTACTTGACCTAATTTTCCCAAAAATGAACCCATTTACATGTTTATTAAGCCCTTGTTGAGTTATGATTATAGTTAAATTTGGACAACTTACAAAAATATCCCTAAAATTAATGGTGATTTGAAAGATCATATGAAAAACATTTTGGAAATAAAAATACTGTGTAAAATAAAAAAGTGACATACAATGTCATCGTATGTCACTTTTTTATTAAAAAGAAATATTTTTCACTCAAAAAATTGATAAAAATTTCAAGAAAGTGGCAGAAAATAAAAAAAATAGTGGCAAACAGCCAAAAAAAAAAAGTGACAGAAATTCAGGCCATGTTTAAGTCACATTCTTTCAAAAAAATACATTATTTAACAGTTATTTGACATCATTTCAACCACACATTCTTCAATAAAATAATATTACACGTAAATTCAAAACTTTTTATTAATTTTTATCACACATTTTTCATTCATACACTATTCAAAATTGAATTCTTATGAAAATAATGTGACTCAAATAAGGGCTCAAAAAATTGACAAATATTCAAAAAAATTGATAAATATTCAGAAAAAATGACAAGCACTCAAAAAAGTGATAAAACGCCAATTAAAACATTGAAATCAATTCAATAAAGTGACTAAACTTTTCATTTAAATTCATTATTATATTGTGCAAAGAATATAAAGCGACTTTTCCTTTAAACCAACATTTTTGAGGAATCATTAAATCTCAATCCTATAAAAAGAAAAAAATAAAGTGATACACTTAAAAAGAGGGGAAAAAAAGTGACAATAAGAATGTAAAATGTCATAATTTAAACACCATCGTTGTTTGCTTATCAATCCTTCACATTCATACATTCATTTTTTTTTCAATGTAGTACTTGAGACGGTTGAAAGCATGGTTTTAATCATCAAGTCAAATACTAAACCAGATATTAAAAGGAAAAAAAAAATACTTTAGACAAACAAAAAGAAAATCAAAGAATAATTTCATTTTCCTTTTTCTTCTACCCTACGCCACCAACGCCAACCCCCTTTCTACAACAAAACCTCCCCTATATTAACAAACATCTTTAAAAAAGTGACAAACAATAAAAAAAGTGCAAGGAAAAAAAAACGGGTACAAGTTTGAAAAGTGACATAAACTCAAAAAAGTGACACAAATTCAAAAAAAAAAAAAAAAAGTGATACATAATTAAAAAAAGTGACAAACACTGAAAAACATTCACTTTTTTTTGTTTCAGTGTAGTACTTGAGGTGGTTGAAAGAAGAAAAAAAAAAAAAAAAAAGAAAAAAAAAAAAAAAAAAAAAAAAAAAAAGTGATACATAATTAAAAAAAGTGACAAACACTGAAAAACATTCACTTTTTTTTGTTTCAGTGTAGTACTTGAGGTGGTTGAAAGCATGGTTTTAATCATCAAGTCGAATGCTAAACCAAATATTAAAATGAAAAAAAAAAATACTTTAGACAAACAAAAAGAAAATGGAAAATTAATTTCATTTTCCTTTTTCTTCTACCCTACATCACAAACGCCACCCCCCGTTCTACCACAAAACCTCCCCTATTTCGCCGCGACCGTCCCGATTTCCCCACCGCTGCTAGCCCTATACATGCTCAGCACATTCTAATGGAAATGTGAGGACATAATAGTATAAAAGGAAATAGAACAAGAGTATGTTTTCAATTGAAGCACAGTAATCTTGATTGTATCATTACGGAACAAACTCAACAAGAATACTATTCAAATTGAACCAAAGAGGATGTTTGGTGGGGATTAAAATTAGATTTTTTTAGTAAATTGTGATAGAAATTTTAGAAATATGTGGTTGAAAAGTTGTGAGATTCATAAAAGTATGATTAATATTGATTGTTTGACTTTGACTTAGATTAAATAATAATTCCTACTGTGCAAGCTCTGTTTCACAGGGCCTGTACAGGCCCACTCACATGCCGAGTGCATGATGGGGTGAGTGGGTGATTATTTAAAAAAAAAAAAATTACCCCACCCCATGTATTGTGAGAGCAAGATTGTAGATTAAAATTTGATTTTAGTCCAAACAAAACAAGCTCTAAACTTGCAATTGCATTGTACATATATTTATGACTATTGCGAAAATGCAGTATTTTATATTTGAACAATAACTTTTCACGTGATTTTTCAAAAGGATCTTATACTTAGGATATATAGTCTAATTTCCTCATTAAATTTTTAATAAATTTTGATAAATGTTGCTGAGATATGTGATTGAAAAATTTTGAGTCTCGTAAAATATGTAATTAAAATTAGTTATTGACTTTGATTTAAATTAAAATATGAATTTTAATCCCTACCAAATAGCGAGCTTAATGTCATTAAACTTCAATTTACTTCCATTGTCACTCACATTAAGTTTACGTTTTATATTGTTTGGATAAAAATTATAAGTTGTTGAAATTATAACTGAATGATACTATTTCCCGTGCTTGTTTGGATTTTATTATATGTTGTTGAACTTATAATGAGATAGAAATGAGTGATGCATAATTATAGAATTGTTTTGAATTTTGCAAAATGGGATATTAAAATTATAGTTTGATTTTAATTTTGACTTTTATAATATAACGTACTTATAATGAAATCCAAACAAGCACTAAATTGACCATTCTTTTTGCAATTATGATCAACGTTAGCAGCTAGTTCCTGTTCTTTATACTTCTACCATAATTTAATTCATATATATAATTTATGAAAAAATTAATATTTTAAAATGTACGACTAATTTTTAAATCTCTTTTCTTAAAAAATAAATTGGTGATTTTTTTAACAATTTATACTCTTGACGATAAAATTAGTAAATGTGAAAATAAAGCATTACTGTTGCTTAATCAACCGTATTAAAAGTAGGTAATTTAAGAGTATATTTTTCATTGACTAAAATATGTTTTTTTCTTTAAGACAGAAAGATTATGCTTCATCTAGTAAAAAGATTAAAAAAAATGGAGAGATATTCAAAACTTGAAATAAAAATGAGAAAAATATTTATGATTTATTTTTTACGCATTGAATTGACAGAAGTAAACAAAATTTAGAGAGAGAGAGGATATATAATTTGTAAGGTACTAAAGTTCACACAAAGGGCTTGTTCGGTAGCGATTTTGAAAATTAATTTTTTGACCATTCGAGAGAAAAGTGGATCCTATCTATGAAAGAAGAAATAAAAAATGATGGCTTGAATAGTGAAATAACGATCAAAAAATTGATTTTTGGAATGAAAAAGCGATATCAAACATGCACTAAGTGTTTAGTTGTGCTAATCAATGGCCCTCGATTTATTAGTATACCTTTTTCTTTTTAGATAGCTATCCCAAATTAAAATCCCATTAGCTCTATTTTTTCATCATTCATATCGAGGCATCAAGCTAACTTAGGGCTCGTTTCACCCTTTTTTACTTCTGCTTTTTGTAAAAAAGTTTTTTGATAAAGCTACATTAAACAACTTCATCTAAAAACTCTTTTAACGATTCTTGAAATAACAGATTTAAAAGAAGTATTTTTTTAATCTCAAAAGCAATTTTAGTCTTTTAAAAATTTTGCCAAGTGGACCCTTAACCTTCAAACTAAAATCATCTTCGAGAGATACTATATTTTTTAAAAGCATATTATATCATTCGAAGAGTATCTATAAATTTAGAGAATTAAAATTTTGAAGTACTCCAACAAACTCCTTATATTTAAAATTTAATTTTACTACTCTAAAAAAAGATTTATTTTTCCCCACCTTTTATTTTTCACTAACTTTTCTCTATTTTATTTTATTATTTTTATACATTGAAAATTGAAATACTTTGAATGTATTTATCTATAGAAAGTGAGTTTGGCCCACTCTCTAAATTAAAATGTTAATTTAAAGGGCTTTTTTAGACGATTTTTTAAAATTTTTGCCAAGCGGACCCTTAAACTTCATTATTTCTTACGGTATTAGAACAAACCCTTTGAATACACCCTTCCCCCATGTTCTCTCCCCAATCCCAAAAAACTAATTTATTAGTGTGTCGCTACTTACTTTAAAACTAAGCATCATTGAATGATCCAAAGTCCACTCAATGTTATTATGTGTCCAAATTTTCACAAATCCCATTCTCTCATCATTCTCTTGGGATTTTACCTTCCACTATCCAATATCCTCTTAGGATTTTTCATTCCTTAATTCCATTCTCTTAGGATTTTAAAAGGAAACTAATGGAAAAAGAGCAAGAGGAAATTCAGTTTCTTGGTTTCTTTGGCATTTTCAAAGAGTCTTTCATTATAACTTTTTCATGGAGAAAGGTTTTCTTACAAATCACCTTAGCCATTATTTGTCCTCTCTCTCTAATCTTCTTGGCTCATATGCAAATCTCTCAATTCCTCTTTGAAGACATAATTCACAATGAAGAGGCATCAGGGTATACACACAAGAGTTCATACACATATTTTAACATTTCCAATTCAATCTCGTCCGATTGGACAACATTTTGGACGTTCAAATTCACTTACTTCATTTTCTTCCTCGCCCTCTCCCTTCTCTCGACTTCTGCTGTAGTCTACACTATTGCTTGCATATACATCTCGAAAACAATAACCTTCAAAAAAGTCATTAGAGTGGTACCGAAAGTTTGGACGAGACTTATGATAACTTTCATATGGAGTTTCATCGTCATTTTTGCATACAACGTTCTTGCATTACTTGTACTTTCTACAGAATTTACCGATATTACTACCCTAACTAGATTTCCAATATTTGCAATTCTTGCTGCCGTATACATAATGGGATTTCTTTATATAAGCATCATCTGGCATTTGGCTAGCGTGATTTCTGTTTTGGAACAAGATTATGGGATTGAAGCCATGATCAAGAGCAAGAAATTGATAAAAGGCAAGTTAATCATTTCACTATCCATTTTCCTGTTGCTCAATCTGTGTTTCATTGCAATTCAACTGGGATTTCAAAGGTGTTTTGTTCTTGGGAACTACTCTTTATGGAGCAAATTAGGGTTCGGAATTTTTTGCTTTTTTTCGCAGTCCATTTTGACACTATTTGGCCTTATAATCCAAACAGTCCTTTACTTCGTTTGCAAGTCATATCACCATGAAACTATTGACAAATCTTGGTTAGCAGATTCTCTTGAGGTTTATGATTATTTAGGGGATTATGTCCCTTTAAAATCAAAGGATGTTCTATTGGAACAATTTTATGTGTAATTTTAATTTTTTTTATATTTCTTTATCTTGTTTTGTTTAAGCCTTTGAGGTAATTAAATAGTATTGTAATCAAGAGTTTACTTGACGTTGTTGAGAGTCAAGTCTAATGTAAAGTAATATTCAGATTATTGTATTTTACTTTTATACTTTATTTTGTACTTGTCACAAATTTTTCAAGAATATATTTTTTTGTCCCTATAAGGGTCGTGTGACAACTCAACAAAAAATTGAATGGCTTTCGTTATCTCAATTTTATAAATTAGATATCAACTTACTACCGAGCAATTGATTGAGTATGAACAATACAATTTTCTAAAGAAAGATGAAATATGTTCAACTTTTTCGTCAATCGAGAACATAGAAAACTAAAGCAAATAAGTTGAAGTAAATAGAAACTAAAAAAAAAAAAAATGGCATGCACCAGCACGATACCTAATTCATAATTATAACTAACAATACTGTTGACTTAGTGTTGATTGAGTAAAATATACCCATTTGCTGTCATTTAGTTTTAAGATAATGCATGACGTTTTTTTAATAATATTTTGTAGTTATCCAGCTATAAGGCTGCTTTGCTTGCTTTTGAAGATTATTTTTTTATTATATGCAATTAAGATACATCACATCTGTTAATTTTATCATATTATTTAATGAAGTACATTTTGTAGAATTAAAAAAAAAAAAAAAAATAGTGATTATGATGTTAACCAAAAGTTATGCTATTTATACACTCATTTGTTACATCATGGATGACATTTGTTGTTTTTGCAAGAAAAGATGAGGGGACTATCACTGTCACTTCAGTGTGGGACTCCTTTATGTGAGGGGACTATCACTTTTGCGGTACGCAAGAGTGTACACAGCAAGCATAGCCCAGAAAAAATTGGTTGAAAAAAAAATTAAAAATAAAAAAAATAAAAAATAAAAAATATATATATATATATTTTAAATGTTCAATTAAATGAGGGAAATGTTCGAGGGGGTGTAATTATGTGTGTACACTATTATGCACACATAGCATTACTCATGAAATGATGCCATATGAGAGAGTGTAGTCAATGATGTAAGAGAGGATGTATACTAAACATGATTCAATTGTATCTAGATTCCCAAACATTTGAAAATTGTGATGATCGCGTTTCGAACTTTTGATTTCTAGCCAATGGAGTTCCAAATATTCCAAACATCCGCGTCCAGGTTTCTTTTGTGATGAAAACTAAATTAATCATGAAATACAAATTTGAACTTGTCAAGTTGTGACACGATTTTAGACTTTTGAGTTGCAACATATAATTTGATACATATTAAGAGGAAATCTCATACCTTACACGATAATTATTTATTTTGTAGGTAAATGATATAAGATTAGAATTTTACTACATGTACATCCTAATTTACACTCTGACTTACCTTAAACTTGGCGCAATCTTGTACCAACTTCATGTTGGGAATTTACTTAATCGTACATAGCGGAATTTAAACAAAATTTCAATTCTTATCAAGGATTTACTTTGTATTTAAATAGAAATTGTGATAGAAATTATATCTTTGTTGAATTGTGTAAACTCTTTTGTGTTTCTAGAAGTCCAACAATCACGATTTGTAATTCACAGCTGTCTAATTGTCCAGCATGCAATGAAAATCCACACAGGGAACAAGTTTGAGAGAACTAGGGTTTTTACTTTTCTTGTACTAGCGAAAATATGAATTTTCTCTACAATTTTTCAAATCTTAGTAGCTTATTTATATAAGCTCAAATGGGATTAGCCTGTCTTATAACTTAATCCGATACAATATTTAATTAATTCAATTAATTAAATCTAAATGTGGTTCATGAATTAATTTGAGCCTATTAATAAGCAACCAAATTAATTAATTATTCAACACTTATTAATTAATTAATTGGCGAATCTCATTCTTCAAGTTCTCCGTTAGTGTGTGATCTATTAAATTCTCAATTACGAATTATTTTAATCTAATCAAAATTGATAAATTAAAATACCCCTTTTAATTTATCACTAATTCGCATATGCCATCTCACGATTAACATCTAACAATGTATCAGGCAATACATGTGAAGAAAAATGTCGTGTGGTATGACAAAATCATTTTTTTTTTTTTTTACTGTGAAACTATAATCATTGTTAATATGATCCGGTCAATTCCGAGATATAAAAGTGTATCAATCTCAATTATCAATTGTTCAATCTTGATTATGAATCATATCTTTCATTCCACTAGTATAAGTCGAAAACTTCTTTTTTCGACTTATGAGTGCACATTGGCTAAGAATTTTATTATCAATTTAATTGAATAAAATGTAGATCATAATCTCTTATTATCTAAGACTAGTAGAAGTCGAAAACTCCATTTTCGACTTATAAATAGATCTTAACCAAGGATTTCATTATCAATTTAACATAATGAAAAGTAGATCATAATCTCATACTAGTTAAGAATTGAAAATCCTCTATTGGTCATTTACAACTTTCATATGATTCTTGACATGCTCGAACGATACCGTATTAGCGGCTCTTGGCAGATCAATATCCAATATCACCAAAGTATGACTGTCTTCATGTAAGGCACTACGATAACATCAAGTCAAACGATCAATTTCACTACTAAACGTTAGAGATTAACCATCGACACTCATATAGTTATCCATGTGGAATCTTCCAGCGAGTCTTTAATGTTTTGTTCTATAATAAAACATCCAAATGTTCATTTAAGTGTCACAAAACACTAATTTGTGAAATCAGCTACTTACTTCACAAGTAAGAAATGTTATACGTGATGGTTTATTCGTAATAACGATATCCATATCATGTAATTACTTACGACCACTGATGATTTATGATTCAATCACATGTAATTTGTATCTCACAATCACAACTTTTTGTGAGTAACAAATTATCAAATTTGAATCTACGAATTCTATTATTTAATTTAATTTAATATTAATTAAATAATAGATAGATTTGCCATAAAATTGCATTAATTATGTATTAAAATTTTTTATGTCCAAAGTTAATTGGATTTAGGGCATAAAACTTACACTTCAGTCCTGCTATATAAACAAATTCAATGACGGAGATTTATATACAGATACAGTTGACATTTTCTTATCTGCATAGTAAAAAAATTAAAGAAAAAACTGTCAATCAAAATCTACCACTTCATCTCCTGGAAAAAGTATATGTCTTTGACCCTATTTGTTGAGCTTTATTTTACCATCTTTCATATCTCACACATTTAATCCAATCATCACAATCTTATCACGTCACCTATCCATCAACAAAAGTGTCAAATTACAAGTACAAATAGCTTAATTAATAAGATTGTACCCTTCACAATTACCTCTCTAATTTTGATCATTTTCACGAATTGACTTACAGCACATTTCTAGTATTAAGAAATAGTTTATATTCACGATAGAAAAAGTATTGCTATTTCTAAAGAACTTTCAAAGATTAGAAAACCTCAATTAAATTATGCCAGTCAAGACCACATTTATCACTCCATTCTATCTTGAACCATTTGCATTATATTATTTGTAGAATACTAAAACCTCGTTTGATGGTAATTATTTGGTAAAAATAAGATTTTGGGCGGATGAACACACCGTCCTACGTGGTACTACTGTCGAATGGCGAATCACCTCCTCATCAGGTAGGCCACCCTCATCCAATAAGATAAGCCCACCTCGAAACTTGATTTTCCATCAAATTTTTTTTTCGTAAATGCGTGGTTAAAATTAAGTATGTAAAGTAAAAAGTTTTAAAATAATAATTGTGAGTTAAGCAATTAATTACGATCAAGAGAAATTAATCCCTTGCCAAAAAATGGACAGGGCCTTCTAGAGACTCTCATTGTTGACCAAGTAAATTATTGTGGGATAAGTTGAGAGCGAGAAGTAGACAAGTGCATACCATAATTTAGTCCAAAATGAACAAATAAATTAATTATCTAGGAAGCTTCCTTCGTGGAATTTCAAGAATTTTTTAAGCAAAAAAACCTTACAATTCAGTTGGTAGACAAGTTGTGTGCACAATTCTACAATCAAATAAATAAATTAATGAATCGAATGGGGAAGGACATAACATAATATACGCACTCACGAATGTAATTGTTCTCGATTCATGTCGATCATGAGTTTTTTGAAGTTGATTACGTAAAATCTAAATTTTACCTACAAGTTCGTGATTCAAATGTCGTGCAAATGCAAATACTTCAGAATAATGCTATTTCTAATGAATATTATCAATAGTCATTATGATATATTCAAGACAATTTATTATTTGATGGGTAAGGCTATACCACGTTCGTTACTAGTGGCATCGTTCAATACTTTATATTGTAGAATATTTGACATTCCAATTAGTATTTTTGGGTGGGCTTATGAGCTAGCACACTTGATTTGACATTTCCAAGTCAAAATCTTCCTCTCATAAGATCCACCCTTCGTCTTCTTCCATACGTACTCGTTGCCCTCCAATCTCCATTTCCAAATCCATTTTTTCTTCAAGATTCAGGCAAAATCATGGACAGAGAAGATGAGGAATTTCAGTTTCTTGGGTTCTTGGGCATCTTCAAAGAATCATTCATCATTGTCTCATCATGGATCAAGATTTTCAGCCAAATAACAGTAGCCATGATCCTCCCTCTTTCCTTAATCTACTTGGGTCATATTCAAATCTCGCAAATGATCTTTTCAGATATCATGTTCAACGAATACATTCATGATAGAATACCAAAGGGCACCCGTTCATACGATAAGATTTCAGATATTTTATTGTCAGAATGGACTGCATTTTTTCTTTTCAAAATTGGGTACTTCATTTTCTTTCTCATTCTTGCTCTTCTTTCAACTTCTGCAGTTGTTTATACAATTGCATCCATTTACACTGCAAATGAAATTATTCTTAAAAAAGTGATGAAGGTAGTCCCGAAAGTTTGGAAAAGGCTTATGGTTACATTCATATGGAATTCCCTAATAGTTTTTGCATACAATATCGTTTCTATATTGATATTCATTTTGTGGGCTCTTCTTTTTAGATCAATACTATTTGTGGGCACTATTCTCTTAATATCTCTTCTTGTGATTTACCTAAGTGGGTTTGTTTACATCAGTATAATTTGGCATTTGGCTAGTGTGGTTTCAGTTTTGGAAGAATTTTATGGGTTAAATGCAATGGCGAAGAGCCAAGGTTTGATCAGGGGAAAAACAGGCATATCTGCAGCAACTTTTCTTGTACTTAGCCTAATTTTCTTTGGAATTCAGCTGGGATTTGAGTATTTTGTGGTTCGTGGATTTGGAGGTGGGGTTACATCAAGAATTTTGTATGGGATTCTTTTTGTTGTGCTTATTTCTGCACTTTTTCTTTTTGGGCTTGTGATTCAGACAATTATATATTTTGTCTGCAAATCATATCATCACGAGAGAATTGATAAGCCTTCATTAGCAGATCATCTTGGAGGTTATCTTGGAGAGTATGTTCCTTTGAAGGCTAAAGATGTACAACTTGAAGAATTTGAAGCTTGATAATGAAACGTTGCCTTTTTTTTCCTTCAACCATCTGTTTTACAGTAGGATTTTGAGTTGAGCTTGTCTATGATGTGCACCGGTTATCTCGTAGTCGACAATGGGCTAGTGGCCTTGATCGGCAGGTCGTGCCTTCTGAGCTGACCTTCCCTTGAAGTGAATTGCAGACATTGTAGTTATGATTTTGTATGCAGATTAGTAATAGAAATTTCTTGATTCCTAAGAAATAATTGTTTGTTTGATCGTGTAATCGAAATTGAATGTATGAAATTGGAAGAATTTTCCAACTTACAATTAATAAAAATTGTTTGGATATGTTTTGAGATAATGGATTAGACAAAATTGAACATAATTGAGGAAGAGATGTTGCGGCAAAATTTAATAATATTTTTCTCATGTCTTGTCTAGTCTAAAGTAATACACAAGCCATTTATGCATCTAAAGTTGTGAAATTTAAAGGTGCTAAAACAATGATTTTCAATTTTTAATGGTCTCTTCTATTAAAAATCTAGTCGAATATCCCCAAAAACTTAGAAAGTATAGAATACGTTAAAGTCACCTAAAAACCAAATAATCGAGCTCCAAAACTGACTAATTTGCAACCAAAACTAGCTGGTTCATTTCGATACTGATTGGTTTCACCTCAAAATAGGCATTTTGTTCTCATTAATTTGTTACTATTAGTTCGACTCCTAATTTGACCTTTCGATACTTGACATTTTGTTTACCTTCACGAAGTATAAAACGTTGTCACTACTATAACTAATAAACTTAACCAAATCTAGAAGAACTTAACTTTTGCTCATGAACAATCTAAATCCACAAGTATATAGCAAAACTGCGGAAGGAAGGGAGAAAGTATCCTCACCAATTCACTAGGAAAAGTTGATGGCCCTTTCCATATATCCAGAAGAAGTAGCCAATAAACCATCAGATCAGTTTTCTTCTCACAAGTCCTCTAAAGAAATCGAAACTTTGGCCACAAGGAATATGTCATATTACCAAACAGAATACTACCAGATGAATATGGCAAGGAACGAAAGACGAGCCCCTCTGCTATTATTTGTCGTCTGTCCTCCAACCTTCCCAACTACGAAAACCTCACTTGTCTCTTTCCCCAGTAGCATAAATTTTTAGCTTGGAGTTGCTGCAGAGAGTAAGACCTTAATGGAAAGGGCTAACAACATTACCAGAGCAGTCAGCGTCTTTTACGAACGTTGAAATTCCCATCCATGATCTTAAATATATCCCACATCGAACTCTAAGGAAACCTGAGAGAGAGCTAGGTACTAGAAAAGCATTTGGGCTACGTCTAGTTAAAGCATACCTTTCTCGGCCTTTTGGCTAAGATCAAGTGTAGTATCTGTTCTTATCAGTTTAATATCTGATATGTGGGCTATTAGCCCACACGATATTAAATTAATTTTTTTAGGGTGAAGGTCCGCCAAGGTAGCTTGCTGCCTGGGCCTTCGAGCGTCGCCCATGCGTTGCACTACAGCACGGGCCTGGCGCAACCCGCCAAACCTAGTTCAAATCGTTGATGGGCTTTATTTTTGAGCCGTTTCCTGTGTTTTATCTCTAGTGACTAGTAAATTTAAGGAGGAATTTGTGGGTCCTTGAGGTTTTCTTAATGGAACGTGGAAGCCAATCAATTGTGGTCAGAACCTGACAAAGGGCATTATGGCGCAAAATGGGCTATAATGCTAGTAGAAAGTTTGACGAGTACGAGTATTGTATTGTGGGGGAAAATGCGAAAAGCTACTAGCCTTCAATGCTCCGAATGGAGCCAAGGAGATCAACTTTTAATTGAATATGCATGCTTTGATGGGGTACCGTATGAACATAGGGCAAGGTGGCTAACTCAGAATGAGCAGAGTTGGGAACCTCAATGATTGGATGCACATTACGAATTGGCGAGCATCTTGGCACCAATCATAGAATAGGGAAACATTCAGCCTTTCACGCTAGCGTGCTTCACGGTGAAAAATATGCACGGATCATGTTTAGACTTGTAATGGAGAAAGACTTGGCAGTCGAATGAAGTGAGACAACTGCAACATGGGCGAAAAACAATTTTTCTATGAGACTTGAAGAATCGTCCCATTACACGACAACTTCTTGTTAAAGTTTTTGGGCTGTCTCACTATTATTCTTGGCCAGTTGGGCCGGTTCTGTTTTTGATGAACTGCAAGATTTAGTAAAATCGTGCTTCTTGAAATAGCACCTTATGCCTTTCTTTAAGGGTTAATATCTGTTGTCGACGTGGCAACATCTTTGACCCTTGGATCATGACCTTTGGGTTGGACATTTATATACTTGGTCATGCTTTTTCTTTGACCCAGTGTGAGTGAGACTTCTGGGGTCTTCCGTCTTCGTCTTCTGAGTGCTAGGGTTTTTACTTGAAAAGTTCTGTAATCATTCTTTGTGAAGTGCAATCTCTTTTTCTTTGTGAATCAGTGAGTGCTTAGTGCAATCTTTGAGATTGTAACATGTGTAGGTTACAGATCTTGTAAATAGAGAGGCTGGAGAAATACCGAAGGAATCTTCAATTTCTTCGAACATTTGTACTAATTCTTGGTTGATATTAGTGGATCTTGAATACAATCTCGTGGTAGATGCTCAACGGATGACTAAATCTAACGATTGAACATCCGGGCCCTATTCTAGGGCAAAAACATATTGCTTTGTCTCGTGTTCTTTTAATTTTTGCAAACTTTATAAATCTGTTTTTACAAATCAACCATTATTCAAACGATTCTTAAATAACAAGTGGTATTAGAGCCACTTTTCTAAAAATTTTGGATCTGTTTGTTCGAATTTTTTTTTTCTTTTCAAAACCTTAAGTTTCTTTTATTCAAAACTTTTAGATCTGTGAAAGAGGAGACGGACGATTGTTCTTTGAAAAGGGGGTACCTTGTGTCTTGCCTCAGATCCATATTTGGTTGGATCTTTGAACGTAATTTTTTTTTTATCTAGCATCTAAATTTGTTGCATTTTTTGAAATCTTTAATGATTGTTGAGATAATTCTTACAACTCGTTTAAACTCACCTCTGGTCCTTTTTTTCTGCTGAGTTCAAATGATTTCTGAGTTGACTCGTTACTGAGTCTTATCGAGTACTAGTACTCGTACTGAGTTTGGCGAGCTATGTTGACTCATCCCGATTCCTATCGAGTTCATACTGAGTTACTGTTGATTAATTGGCAATTACACCTGCACTGTAATTGTTTGCTCAAACCTTGGTTTTGCCCTGCAGTTATTTCTGAAATCCTTAAAATTTCAGACTCTGGTATATCTCTGCAACCCATTTCTTTAAATTGCTACTGTTCTTGTTAAGTTTTGGAATTGGTTGTTAAGGTAAGTTACCCTCCTCTGCTTTCCTTTGTCCAAGATCTCGTTGAAGGTCTAGGAATCTGAGGAAGCAGTTGAACAGAAGGGTTACCACCCCTTAAACCTTTTCATAATTGACATTAATACTCTTGTGAATTGTATGTTAAGTATCTGCAAAAGTAATTTTCTATTGCATTTTTTATAATTACATGCCTGTTACCTTTAATATTTTTCTTGAATCAATTGTACTTGTTGTCCTATTCAATCATAATCTGTTGCTTTGTGTTGGTCATCATGTCTACTACTACACATAAATTTGAAATTGAGATATGGAATGGCATTGGTGATTTTAATCTCTAGCGCCAAAAGATGAGGACCCTACTAGTAAGCAGAGATGTGCTGTAGCCCTTGATGGAACTTGGGCTGTAGAGACTAGTACTTATAGGAGACAAGAATTGGATGATACTGCTTGGAGTACCATTTTCCTTCATCTCTCTGATAGTGTGATTAGGAAAGCAGGAGAAACTATCTTTGCTGAGGCTTTATGGACTAAGTTAGGAACACTGTATCTAAATAAATCCATGCCTTATAAATGCTACCTCTTAAGGCAGTTTTATAACTTTAGATTTGATCCTACTTTTGGCCTGGAAGAAAATCTCGACAAATTTACTAAATTGATTCAAGACTTGGAGAATTGTAATGAAAAGTTATCTAATGACCAACAAGTTGTTGCTTTATTAAATTATCTAAGTGAAAGGTATAGAGATATCAAAAATGCTCTAGAATATGGGGGGCAGGATCTTACCATAGACATAATAACTTCAGCCCTCAAAAACAAAGAACTTAAATTAAAAACAGAGTCAAAAGATTTCAAGTTTGGAGAGGGGTTGCATATAAAAGAGAAACAAATTCAAAAGAAGAAACAAAATTAGTGCAATTTCAATTCCTACAAGAAAGGAAAGTCTCAATACAACAAACCCAAAAATAAAAACAAGAACTTTGCCAAATCCAAAAACTAAAACAGGAAATGCTATTATTGTGGAAAAACTGGACACCTAATAAAATATTATTTTAAGAAAATTTCTGATATGAAGGACAGAAACAACATTGTTGGCTCTGCAGCTAAGGTGTTGTTCTTGTCAGTGCAACCAGTAGAAACCCTAAAGATTGGGTCCTTGATTCTGAATGCACTTTCCACATGTGTCCTGTTAAGGAATGCTTTTCTGAATTTGTTGACCTTAGTGGAGGGTAAATTCAGATGGGTAATGACACGTGTTGTCAAATACATGGAATTGGTAAAGTGAGGTTGTTATTAGAGAACAACTATATTCTTGAGTTGGAAAATACTAGATATGTCCCTGAACTTAAGAGGAACCTTATCTCCTTGGGAGAACTAGATGAAAAATATAACATAATGATTCATAAGGGACTTATTACAATAAATCAAGGAAGCAAGAATGTTATATCTTCTCATAAGAAAAAGGGCATATATACTGTCTCTGCTGAACCTGTGAAAATCCATTGTACTGCTGCTTTAAATTCTGATCCAAACAAGGTTTTGATATGACATAAAAGACTTGGCCATAGCTCAAAAAAAGGGTCTTATAATTCGAAACAAACTTGGGTGTTTTGGAAATGACAACATTGAAAGTTTAGACTTTTGTAAAAATT